AAAAAAAAAAAAAAATTTTGCACAAGCATTTCGTTCATCGGTAAATCTGCGTAATTTTATGTCACTTTGTATTTGCTCTTTACCTATACTTTAATTTCACCTGCAGTTTTAACACTCGAAATTGGATTGTTCTTTTAATATTGTTAATATTTATTGTAAATTTATTATTATCAGACTAGTCTTTTAAGCTAAACAAATAAGGAGAAAGGTAAGTCAGCTAACAGGAGAGAGCATGAAAAAAAAAGTAAAATAAACCTTATTCACTCACAGTATCCAGTCAACTGTTGTCAGTAGGCTGACGTCGTTTGCTGGAAGTCCAACTGTTGTTAGCACAATACGTATGGTGTTCAGTCCGGCTGGAACAGTACCCGAACCAATTGATGCCACTGTTGTTGTAACGCTGAAAGAAAAAAAAAAGAACCATCTATTAAGCAACAAAACTGGTTTTTTGTTCTTTATTTATAGTTGCTTCTTGGATAAGCAACTGTAAGTTTTGCTCGAATGGATAATCCCAAAATAACTGTTTTACAATAAAAATTGTAGAGCGAAAGCTGCTATACGGTTTATAAAATTGTCAAAAGAAGAAGAATTACTGTAACCTTATTGTAAGTAGATCGTAAATTGTTAAATGAACATTATGTAGTTGAGCAATAAAAATTACAGCTACAGCTTCATAAAGAGCTGTACCGTCCTATAATATACAAATTAATCTATCAGAAGAAAAAGAAAAGTCTAAAAATAAACTTATTAAATTTATAGCTTTTTGTTAAATCAAACTGTTTTAGTTTTTTGTAACAAATTTGTTTAAAAAAATTTTTTTTTGTTAATTTTTACTATAGAAAACTGCAATTTATCAATTAATATTAAATTTTAATTGTTTATAACAGCTTTTTTCAGAAAAAAAAAAATGAAATTTTAAACCATAGTTATTGTTGCTCCAAGTGGCAAAACAAAGCGCGTAACTCGGCGATCAATGTTCAATTTCTCTTCGAGACTTCGGAAAGTTATTGGTAATGTTGCAACGCTTAATCAAACAAAACTATGTAAAAAAACTGAAAATTTTTATGCGCAACTCTTGGTTACAGTGTAAAGCTGAAATTAAAGTGGGAATTGAGCTGAGATTCAAATCTATCAAAACAGAAAAAAAAAGAACCTAGATGCTGTTCCAAATGCTGTAGCTAAAGCTTGCAGCATTCCTGTCATAAAATCAAATGGACTTCGTCGTGTAACAACACTATATATCAGCGGTAACGTCAACAGTGAGTGTATCATAAGGCCGCAAAGAACTGTAACCACATACATTGCAAGGGCTTGAGCAGTTTGAGCCAAATTGTCAATGTCGACTATATTTTTGCACACTAAAGACAAGATACCGATTGGGTAA